GTTTTGTTTATATAAAACTGATTTGAACATATAGTTAATGATATCCGATTAACGTGATTTTTTACAGGCATATAATACTTGACGATTTCTATATATTCAACGATTCAGATTATCAAAACAGAACCCTTAGTGGGCCCCCCAAGGGCCCAACATTACCATCAAATTTTGTGGCTTTACATATGTAATTTTTTTTTTTTTTTTGCCCAAAAAGTGTATGACCTGCCTTCCTGCTAGGGCAGTACGACTGATAGTGTAATTCAAGCTTTTGTATTACAAAAATGTATAAAATATTTTTTTTATATTTTTTATTTGTAAATAGTAATGACTTTTTGGCTTTTTGTGTAACTTTTTGACTTTTTTGAATTTTTTGGAACTTGCCAAACCTGGCCTTAGTGCTTAATTTATTGAAAGATTGAGACGAGTAAAACTTTCATATGATATATGAAACTAATAAACATAATACAAAGATGATAGGGAAATACTACATATTTGTTGACATCTTCCTGTTATTATTAGTTGATTTGTTAAATTATATTATTAATTTAGAATCCAAATGATTTAATTCAATATTCATAACTTTAGTTATATTCGATCATTTTTTCATTGAGAAACCTATATAATTTTTTTGTTGGTATATAATGATTAAAGCTATCCTTTGTTATATTTCTTCAAGTACAATTCAAATAATTTGTCATCAATTTTTTTTTTTATAAATAAAATGGATTAAACTAATTTCATATAGAATTTTTATAATCCTTTTTTATCTTGATTTTTTTTTTTTTTTGGTTAAATACTGTAGGAACCATGCAAGTATTATTCAAGTTATAAATAAGGATTTATGCTTTGATATGTAGTGTCATTGATAGAGGAGATCAAAGGTAGAAAGTTGCTAACATGGTTAATTAATGATCTGTTTGAGAAGTTCTTTTTATGAGTAGGGTAACAAACTTATATTAAATTTTTTTTAAAATTACTTAGAAATTATAATTATAATTAAAAGGTGAGATTTATTCATAATTTGGTCCTACAATAATAATATAAATCACTGATTTAAAAGTCTAAGTAAATTTATGATAACTGAGAGGGTAATTTTTGGGAAAAATTGGGCCGAGCTTCGAGTTGGGCTTTAAGGCCCAAAACACGAAGGATTAAGTAAAAAGGCCGTAATGGATACTTTCGTTTTTTTTTTTTTTTTTTTCCTGCATGACACTATAGACTGAAACAAGTTATTTATGTTATCAAGTGATTGTGATACTGTTATCCCTAACAATCTTCATAATTAACAATTTTTTATGCATATCAAATTTTATTGTGAAATTTTATAGATTAATTATTGTTAACATCTATTAAGATGGTCTAACATTATAGTTTGCCGCTATTAAAAAATAATTCAAGATTACAATAATTTATTTATCACATAAAATATATACAGTTTGTTTTTCCATGCATCGCACGGGTTGCCATTAGTTAAGGACAAATAAATGAGTGTATTTGGAGCGGGTAAATTACAAATACACCTCCTGAGATTTACTTAAAATACAGATTGCTTCCTGTGATTTAAAAAATTACAAATACCCCCTTATTAGAATTTTTTATTTTACAGAATTAACTAAAAAAATAAAATTCATAATTGCTCTCATATACAATAATAAAATTACGTAAATTATTAATTGAAACATATTTTTAACATCATTAAAAACGGTTAATTGACTTGATGATTTATTAATAAAATGAGTTATTTGTTATGAAATTATAAATCTCAGAGGGTGTAATGTAATTTTCAAAACCACAGAGAGCAATTCGTATTTTAATCAAATCTCAAATGGTGTATTTATAATTTACCCTATTACTTAATATTTTAAATAATTTTCATAGGTAAAAAAACTAGTCACTCTGTTTTTCTACTGGGTCCCACTTATTTCCTCATGCGCTAAAAAAAATAAAAATAAACTAGTCACTCCGTTTGTTTTCAGTTTTAAAATTCACTTTTCAAAAAATTCTACTTTCTTGTTTTCTGTTTTTTATTTTTACTGAATTTTTTTTAATATTTTAAGCAATTTTTTTTTAAATTTTTAGACACACCTAACATAAATACACTTAAAAAGTATAATTTTTGTGAAAAATCTTTAAAAAAATTCACTAAATTCCAAAAATACAAAAAAAAAAATTACAAAATTCAGTATATTTTTTGTATTTTTGTATATTTATTAATTTTTTAAAATTTTTTTCATAAATATTTTACTTTTTAGATACATCTAAGTAAGATGCATCTAAAAAAGTAAAAAAAAATTAAAATTTTTAAAATATTCACTAAAAATAAAAAAAAATGAAAAATAAAAAATTCAATTTTTAAAAAATTGAAACCAAACATTCTAACGTTAGTTTTACATATATGTAAGTAAATTTTGTGTTAGTACTAGTTTTTTCAAATAAAAAAATTAAAAAATTAAAAAAAATCATATTTTAATTAAAAAAACGATATATATTTTATAATTATGTATAAAAGTCTCATTTTTTAAAAGCCTCAAGGCCACCTGAATGTGGGGTTGGTATGTCCTGACTTGATGAGGTTGATGTTTATGGATGGATTAGTTGACTGACTTGTCTCAGGTAATTTCAAAGTCGTGAAAATTATTGTCATGTACCTTCTAAGTCGGTGGTGGTTGTCTTCAATAGTCGACATTTTGAATAAAAATATCTTTAATTTAGTAAGAATATATTAGTCATCTCTGTAAAAGACGCTGTTGTGGATTTGCGAGAGAATAAAAGAATTTTTTTGTAACTAAAAAAATATATATTTAAAAAAATTATTCAAAAATTTATCTAGAATCAAAATGCATGGACAAAATTTATTTTCACTATGACTGATAAAATATTAACTTTAAATTTATGCTCTATAATCTACCTTCCGGATTAAATTTTGCGAGTAACTAAAATTATTCCTTTTAGAGAGTGAATTATACTAGTGGTTCTTATATTTTGCTACTTGTATTATTTTGATTTTTATATTTTCAGTTGGTTCAATTTTAAATTTTAATTTTAAATTTTGTATCAATTTAATTCAATTGATAATATCGTTAGTACTTTTAATAGAAATAATCGTTGAATTAGTTGAGATTAATCAACTGAATTGAGTAAATTTATAGTTTTGTCCTTAAAAATATGACACATGTCACTTATCTACGAATTTTTTTATAAAAAATATTGAGAGTTATAATCAATTAGATCAAATTAAAACAAATTGTAAATTTAAAATAAAGTCAAGCCAATTAAAATTAGGAGTACTTACATGTAGGTCCTAATAAATGAATTTATTATCTAGTAGGTCTTATGAGAAAAATTTGTCATAAAAAAAGTTACTAATTATAAATTTTAGCAATAATTTACAAAAATCATAATAAAAAAAAGTCATTAATTATCAATTTTTAGCGACATATATAAAAAATTGTCACAAAAAAATTATTTTTAACGATGATTTTATCAATACTTATTTTCAATAAGATTTAATGAGAATTAAGTATAATTATTAGGACCATAGTAACCAAAATGACACTGTAGTTTGTCCCCTTCTATATTGCAACTGGAACTTGCATTTTCTGAATGGAGTTTTATACTGCCATAAGATCCACCATCCTGTGTGATCCTATTTCCAATTACATTGTCTTGTGTGCCTTTGAGAACTAGATGAAGTTCAATATGAGGAAATTCTCCACTATTGGACTCCTTTTAGTTGTTTTGCTTTTCAATGAAACAACATTGTCCTGTTTGTGATATGTAAGTAAATTTTGTGTTAGTACTAGTTTTTTCAAATAAAAAAATTAAAAAATTAAAAAAAAAATCATTTTTTAATTAAAAAAACGATATATATTTTATAATTATGTATAAAAGTCTCATTTTTTAAAAGCCTCAAGGCCACCTGAATGTGGGTTGGTATGTCCTGACTTGATGAGGTTGATGTTTATGGATGGATTAGTTGACTGACTTGTCTCAATTAATTTCAAAGTCATGAAAATTATTGTGATGTACCTTCTAAGTCGGTGGTGGTTGTCTTCAATAGTCGACATTTTGAATAAAAATATCTTTAATTTAGTAAGAATATATTAGTCATCTCTGTAAAAGACGCTGTTGTGGATTTGCGAGAGAATAAAAGAATTTTTTTGTAACTAAAAAAATATATATTTAAAAAAATTATTCAAAAATTTATCTGGAATCAAAATGTATGGACAAAATTTATTTTCACTATGACTGATAAAATATTAACTTTAAATTTATGCTCTATAATCTACCTTTCGGATTAAATTTTGCGAGTAACTAAAATTATTCCTTTTAGAGAGTGAATTATACTAGTGGTTCTTATATTTTGCTACTTGTATTATTTTGATTTTTATATTTTCAGTTGGTTCAATTTTGAATTTTAATTTTAAATTTTGTATCAATTTAACTCAATTGATAATATCGTTAGTGCTTTTAATAGAAATAATCGTTGAATTAGTTGAGATTAATCAACTGAATTGAGTAAATTTATAGTTTTGTCCTCAAAAATATGACACATGTCACTTATCTACGAATTTTTTTATAAAAAATATTGAGAGTTATAATCAATTCGATCAAATTAAAAGAAATTGTAAATTTAAAATAAAGTCAAGCCAATTAAAATTAGGAGTACTTACATATAGGTCCTAATAAGTGGATTTATTATCTAATAAGTCTTATAAGAAAAATTTGTTATAAAAAAAGTCACTAATTATAAATTTTAGCGATAATTTACAAAAATCATAATAAAAAAAAGTCATTAATTGTCAATTTTTAGTGACATATATAAAAAATTATCACAAAAAAATTATTTTTAGCGATGATTTTATCAATACTTATTTTAAATAAGACTTAATGAGAATTAAGTCTAATTATCAGGACCATAGTAACCAAAATGACACTGTAGTTTGTCCCCTTCTATATTGCAACTGGAACTTGCATTTTCTGAATGGAGTTTTATACTGCTACAAGATCCACCATCTTGTGTGATCCTCTTTCCAGTTACATTGTCTTGTGTGCCTTTGAGAACTAGATGAAGTTCAATATGAGGAAATTCTCCACTATTGGACTCCTTTTAGTTGTTTTGCTTTTCAATGAAACAACATTGTCCTGTTTGTGTAATGCTTCAACCATTGGTCGCATAGAAGAAGAGAGACAAGCTCTTCTAAACTTCAAAGATAGTTTCACAGACCATACAGGTCGACTATCATCATGGCATAGCAAAGATTGTTGCAGTTGGAAAGGAGTACAATGTGATGAAATTACTGGCCACGTTGTTGGGCTTGATCTCGGTGTAAACTTCTACGCACCCGGGTACAACTCTTCTATTCCGTTAGTGGCTAATGAAGTGCACTCTTGTTTGCTTCAATTGAAATATCTGAATCACTTGGACTTGGCCGGAAACGTTTTTAACAATAGCCCAATCCCAAAGTTCTTTGGATCGGTGGCACGACTAAGGTATCTCAATCTGTCTGGTGCAGCGTTCAGAGGATAGCTCCCCATCATCTCGGAAGTCTTTCTAGCTTGCGTGTTCTTGATCTTAATTTTAATTCTGAAGTAACTATTGACGATTTCACATGGGTTTCTCGTCTTTCATCACTGCAATACCTCGACTTGAGTCACATGAAGCTTATTCAGACGCAAAATTTACACAAGGTACTAAACATGATTCCTTGTTTACTAGAGTTGCATTTATCAAATTGCGGGTAGCATTCATTTATCTCATATGCATGTGGATTCTATACTTAGACCTTAGTTCTAATTCATTTGAAGGAGAACTTCCGAGTCTCCTTAGGAACATGACTTCTTTAAGAGTCCTTGATCTTTATGATAATCAGTTTAATTTTTCTATTCCTCTCCATCTGGAAAAGCTTAAGAGCCTTGAACATCTCAATCTTGGCTACAGTGCATTTCATGATGTTGGGGGGATGTTGAGTCTACTGTCAAATCAATGTAGTTTGAGATCATTTGATATGAGTGACAACAGATTTGACAAAAAGATGTTAATTTCTTATGGAAATTTGTCCAGTTGCACCATGTACAATTTAGAGACATTGTGTTCGAGTGGTAATGGTTTCATTGGTCATTTACCAAATTGGTGGGGACAACTTAAGAATTTGAAACACCTTGATCTTTCAAGTAACTTCTTTAACAGTTCGATTCCAACATGGTTGGGAAGATTGTCACATTTGCATAATTTAATCCTCTTTTATAATCAGTTTATTGGGGTTATCCCACCATCGCTAGGGAACCTATCAGCCTTGAGAATACTAGATCTTTCTTACAATAAGTTAAATGGTACCATTCCTGTTTCTATTGGACAATTATCAAATCTCAAGATCTTAGATCTCTCTTTTAATTCCCTGGAAGGCGTAGTACTTTCTGAAACTCATTTTGCCAACCTCTCAATGTTGGACGAATTGAGAACAAGTTCTGCCTTTTTGACATTGAAGGTGAGATCTGATTGGATACCTCCTTTTCAATTGAAATCCATTCTAATGGGGTCCTGCAAAGTAGGGATTCAATTTCCTCAATGGCTTCAAACACAAAGGAAAGTTGTTGAATTGGATCTTTCCAATACTAGCATATCAGGAACCCTCCCTGAATGGCTTCATGACATGCCTCTCTCGAAATTATCTCTCTCTCATAACCATATCAGTGGACCCATTCTGAAATTGCCTTCCACTTTGAACAGAGTTGATCTCTCCTATAACTATATCTCAGGACCCCTTCCACAAAATATTGGTGATATGGTGCCTACTTTAGAGAGTTTGTTACTAGCTAACAATTTAATAAATGGTTTGATACCCAATTCATTGTGCAAAATTGTGGCTTTGAATGAACTAGATCTCTCTAAGAATATGTTATTTGGAAATCTTCCTCAGTGTTGGGAGGATTCAGGGGAAATCCCAATGCTACAGGTTATGAAATTTTCATCTAACCGACTTTCGGGGATTATTCCAAGCTCTATTGGACATTTGTCTGGACTGGCAGTGGCATGGTTACATTTGAATAACAATAGTCTTTATGGAGAGATTCCTTTGGCTTTGAAAAAGTGCACAGCTTTAATAGCTTTGGATCTTGGTGAGAATGGATTGTCTGGAAACATTCCTGAATGGATTGGAGAACTAAAATTCTTGGGAATTCTGAGATTGCACAAGAATATGTTCAATGGCAAAATTCCCTTACAGTTATGCCAACTGTCAAGTCTCCAAATCATAGACCTTGCAAACAATAATTTAGAAAAAAACCATCCCTCGTTGTTTTGGCAATCTCACTAGTATGGTCTATAATGAATCTCCAACATTAGTGCCAGGGCAATGGTTATCTGAGAACATGGTACAGGTTATGAAAGGAATTGAACTCGAATACAGCACTACACTAGTATATCTAGTGAACATGGATCTTTCGAGGAATAATTTGACCGGAACGATCCCTGAAGAGCTCCCACTTCTTTCAGGTTTGCTTGGGCTTAATTTATCGCATAATAATTTGACAGGAAGCATCCCTAAGAAGATCGGTGGCTTAAAGTCATTGGAATCTCTTGATTTCCATAACAATCAACTTTCAGGCACAATTCCAGAGAGCATGTCAAATTTGAGTTTTATGAGCCACTTGAACTTATCATACAATAGCTTGTCAGGACATATTCCAGCGGGTAATCAGCTCCAAACTCTTGATGACCCTTCTATTTATGTCGGCAATAGTGAACTTTGTGGAGCTTTTGTACCAAAGAAATGCTCTGGTGACGAACATTCTCAACCTCCTCCAACATCCACAAGTCATGAAGAAACATATGAAGGAGACAAGTCTGAAAAGGTATGGTTTTACTTGGTCATAATGAGTGGCTATGCCACAGGGTTATAGGGAGTTATTGAGGTTTTGTTGTTCAAGAAGAACTGGAGACATGCTTATTTTTGATTCGTTAACATGACTAAAGAGAATGTACTAGTAGCTATAGCAGTGAGAGTGGCTCAATTTAATAAGTAGAATGGCAAGTGATATCACAATGATTTTCTTTTTTCCCTTGTGTGTCTTTATAGTATTTGTGTGGATGGATGGATGGATAGATGAGTGGGTGGGTGGGTGGTTGTAGTTGTTTAAGTGCACTTTTTTCTATTTTTTCCCCAGAAAGTTAATAAATTTCCATGGTACTATATGTAGTCTTAAAGATTATTTTGTTGTTGGATTGACTCTAAATAGTTGTTTTAATCTATATATGTGAAACTTGATTACTTCATTATTTTATGTTCTAGAGTTTTATGATTTATTCATTGTATGTCGCGATGAATTTAGAAACCATGTAGTTCGACACAGTAAAAACCAAAAAAATAGTTCTTCGTCTAAATTTACTCTAAATTTTAGCTTTACTATGTAAGAGTTAAAATTTGAATTACAAATTATTTTTTTTGTATTTTTTTTGTGTATGAGTTCTTAATTTCTAACTTTATTGATCTACCATAATACAAATTTACTATAAGTAGTTTAAATCTATATATGTAAAACTTGGTTACTTCATTATTCTATGTTCTGGAGTTTCACGGTTTGTTCATTGTATGTCGTGATAAATTTAGGATATGTCGTGATGAATTAAGAACCAAGTAGTGAGACGCAGAAAAGACCAAAAAAATAGTTCTTTGTCTAAATTTACTCTAAATGCGAGCTTGACTATGTAAGAGTATTTTTTTTGTGTATGAATTCTTAATTTCTAACATTATTGATCTACCATAATACAAATGAGAGAAGATATGATCCACAACAACTTACCAACACAACCATCCCACTACCGCTGCCTATCACCTCTGTTAGTTGACGTTTATATTTTTCAAATGAAAGTTGTGACATAGCACCCAAATTTGATTTGAAATTTTAATTTTTCCCCAAACTATTTTTAAAATATCAATTAGACCTCCAAATTTTATTTCATTTAGGGGTTTAATTGATATTTTAAGGATAGTTTGAGAGGCAAAATGAAACTTCAAATGAAGTGTGCGTGTCATATCAACAACTTCCATTTAATTATAGATAATAATTGACGATAGGAGTAAAATTCACGCAAAAATGAATAATTTAAATATAAAATTAATTTTATTGAAAGAACATAAATTAAATTAATTTTCGAGTGATAATTTAGAGGTGAAAATGATATTTTCTCGTAGAATTATATCTAGCTAGTTGTTGAATGAGCATACCTTGTTGTATGGTTATGATTGGTATGTGTTTTACTGTGAAGGTATTTGCACAAAAGCAAAATAAAAAAACAAAAATATGCATAGAAAATTTAAAGTGTAATTTTAATTCATTTTAAATATGGCAAGGATTATTCAAAATAAATTTTTGAACATATATATATATATATAATATAAATTCTTTTAAGTTCAAAATCTAAATTTGAGCATCATGTTAAGGCGTGTGGAATCCACCAAAAGTTAATTTTATAGGGTTCTCTATGTGGAATCCATCAAATTTTATTTCTAAAAAATTGAATAATCTATTTTCAAGAATATATTTGTCGTTTATTTTTTCAAAAATAAATGTGATAAAACAAAAGGTTACGATTTATCAAATAAACATAATTTTTCTATAAATAATATACACACAAGGCTCTACAAAATAAATAGTTCAAATTATCGAAACAGAAATCATGATGAACCCAATAATTCATAACATGGTGATTAAGTACAGATTTTAAGCTTGAGAAAAATTTAATTTCTTTTTCTCTACACATTTTTGTATTATATTTTTGTACAAGTACCTTTACTCTTTCTTTTATGATGTTAGGGGCAGTGTTATCTCTAGTCATCTGTTACCACTAACTTATAAGAAGACTACATATTATTTAAGATGGCTGTTAAATGTCCTTACTTTTTTACTTTAGACCCAACACTTCTTTGGCCCCCCATAACTAAAATTACTTCCATCTTTATTTTTCTTTGGACCCCAATCATAATCACAAATATACCCTTTGAACCCTACCCTTATACCTTCCACCTTCAACTCCTTATTCCTTCCTCCAGCAATCCCCCTCCCACTTTGGCGACCCTTTCTCTCCAACAACCTGCTCAAACAAAAAACAATAACAACGGAGCAACCGTCTATTTCCTCAGAATATCAAATAGATGCGAACTATGTTTCAAGGAATGTAACAACATTAGAAATGTAATGGGTCCAAGTTTGAGTGATGATTCCTCCATTGTAAAGAATCACATTGATGTTGTTGATAATGAATGATAGATAACCAGTTCGAAAAACCCATCTTTTTGCCTCGCCACTGTTCGAAAAACTATTTCCAAACAAAAGCCTAATGTTTAGTACTATGTAGCCGAACAAAAGGCATATTCAACAAGTTCAATTTAGTATAACTGAACGAAGAGAAATCAACCAGCCTGTCGATGGGAAGAGAGGGAGTTGCACACAAAAGAGAGAAAGAGAATAGGTTCTGAAGGATGAAGATGAAGATTGCGAAAGAGAGTTTGCAAATCAGTCGCTCATTCTCTACAACTGCAGCCAAAACCCTAACCTTTGTTGCCATTGATAGTTCTGTAAACAATAGGTGGTGGCGAGAGGCTCACCGAAGGAGGAAAATAACAGAGGTGGATTGGTTGCCAGAGGCCGCCGGCAGGAGTGGAAGTGGTGGTGGGATTAGGATTAGGGTTAGACTTGGGAGGATAGAATGAGGATAAAATTGGAATTTGATGTTAGGACAAAATTGTTCTAAAATAAAATATAAAAAATTACGGATCCAAAGTAAAAAGGTAGAGGCATTTAGCAGCCCTCATTATTTAAATACAAGGGTAAATTACACTTACATCTTCTTAAATTTAATAAAATTATAATAATTTTGGTCTAGAGAGAGGCTATCTCTCTAGGTGATTTTCAACAGTGTTCTGGCGGTGCTCCGATGACATTCCAGCGACTTATTTTACACTTCTAAAGTGTAGATCTACACTCCTAGAGTATAGATCTACAGTTTTAGAGTGTAGATCTTGACTTTTTATGTCCGAAATAGGAGTTTTGAGAGTTTTCTCCTTCGTTTTCGGCATAAATTTTTGGATTTTCAACACTAATGCTTTCCTCCTCTTTCAAGCCTTCTCCCATATCATTGTGGGTGCACTTCCTTCTCCGGCGATAGCAGCAGTGAAGTTGGACAACAACAACGGGGACAGCATCAACAGGGACGGCGGGCTTTTAAGCAAATCTTACTTTCCAAACCACATCTTTGAGCAGATTGGTGGTTTTTCCCGAATCATAGCTGTTTTTTTAGCAGATTTGTTTTTTTTTATTTTATTAGAATGGTTGAAAGAAATATGGAAAATATGTATCTGTATTATATGGAATAAATTGAATACAATAGGAGAGCCTGTATTTATAGGCTGAACACAAACCTAGATAAGTATAGAAGGAGATAGAGATAGGGAGAGATAGAGATACAAGGAGATAGAAAGATAGAGATAAGCTATATCTACAATACAAGGAGATGAGTATAAATCTAAATCTAATACATACTAAAGCTAATATATACATAAACAACCCCCCTTAAACTCAAGGTGGGTAAGCATCAACCAACCTGAGTTTGGAAACTAGATTACTGAAATGACTAGGAAAATGAGCCTTGGTGAAAATATCAGCAGGTTAATCAGCAGAAGAAATATGAAGAAGATAAATAGTGCCACGTGTAACATGCTGTCGAATGAAATGACAAACAATCTCAATATGTTTGGTGCGATCAAGGAAGATATCATTGTGAGCAATCTGAATGGCACTCTGATTGTCACAATAGAGAGAGGTGGCACCAGGGAAAGAAACACCCATATCAACAAGGAGTCAGCGAAGCCATAAAAGTTCCTAAGTAGTGTCAACAAGAGCGCTGTATTCAACTTCAGTACTAGGGCGAACATTGAGTGACTGTTTCTTGCTGTACCAAGTAAGAAGAGAATCTCTTAAGAAGAAATAAAAACCTATGGTGGAGCGTCGATCAATAGGATTCCCGACCCAATCAGCATTAGAAAAGGCACAAAGCTCAAGAGAAGAGTGAGTAGAGTAATGGAGTCCATGGAACATAGTGCCTTTAAGGTAGCAAAATATGCGAAGTAGAGTAGTCTAATGCGGGGTGCGGGGAGCCGACATGTACTGACTAACAAGATGGACAACATAAGCAATGTCAGGACGAGTTACAGTGAGATAGACAAGACTACCAACCAACTAGCAATAAAGAGTAGCATCAGAGAGAAGATCTCCGTCTAGAGAAGTGAGACGAGTTTGAGGATCAATGGGAATAGAGGTAGTTTTACAATCGGTAAGACCAGGACGTGCCAGAAGATCGGATGCATATTTGTCTTGTGACAAATAATAACCAATGGAATCATGAGAGATTTCATGCCCTAAGAAATAATTAAGAGTACTAAGGTTCTTCATCTCAAACTGGCGATTGAGAAATTGTTTGAGGCTAAGAATACCAGCCACATCATCATCGGTGATAATCATAACATCCACGTAAAAAAGAAGAAGAGTAGTGCCATGAAGAGTGGTCCGAGCAAATAGAGCGGAGTCATATGAGCTGGAGGTTGTAGACACCCCATTTTTGACCATCCTCAAGACTTGGACGTCACCATTGAACACTCGGTGATCATCCATGTTCGTGTTCGTCTTGAGTTCTCGGAAGTTTCGGTCGCGCACCTTGCCTCAAGACCTCTCGACTTGTTTGTTTTGTGCTTGGTTGTGCACCAAACACTTGTGTTTTTACTTCTGAGGGCAGGGAATGGCTTGTTGGCCATCGTCACACCTCACCGGCCTTGGCTTGAGGCCACCGGCCCTGTTTTCTTGCTATCGGCCAAAATATTTTGGTCGGTAGGCAATGTTTTTGGTCAGGCGGCCATTTTTGTTAGTTAATCGGCCATATTTTCCAGCTGACCCCTTTCCATCTGCTTTTGGCAAATATTTTATGCCAGCTGTGACAGCTGGCATCCACATTTCCCCCCTCCAGACACGTGTATGGAGGAATTTGCCTCTTGTTTAGATTCTCTTGGAAGCTTGAGAGTTTGAACCTCTATAAAGAGGGAGCCCCTCCTCCCTCCTCTAGGTTCAGAGAATTAGGGTTAGGAAGTTTGTATCTATCTATCTCTATAATTCCCTCTCTTTGCCTTTGTGTGTGTGTTTTGTGCTCTAAAGTGACTTTTGTTCACACTATTGCACACAAACACCTAGTGTTACACCATCCTTGGTTGTTGAGGCTCTAAGGAGTTGTTGTTAGGGTTCTTGGGCTAGTTTTGATCCAAGGAAGGTGCTGGGGTGGTGTTCTTGAAGAGGTTCTTCAAAG